ATTCTTTTGTTATTTTAATTTTTAATTATTTTTATATTCATTATTTATTTTTGCCTACTTAGTATTTACTTATTTTTGTTTATTTATTAATTTTCTATTTTATTCTTCAATTTTCCAAAGTTATGACAAAAATCTTAAATGGGAAACAAAATTTTTTTCTTAGAAAAAAGTGCGACTATTTTGTCATTTTTGCCTAATTAATAGAAAATGTCTTTGAACTTAAAAGTTCATTATCCCTATCAATTTTTCACTGCTCTTATTCTCCTTTAAAGTAAAACAAATTTTTTATCATTACTTTCACTTTGTAGACAAAAGTTTCCGTAAACTTGTGTCAAAATTTCAAATTGTCTCAAACATAACCTCAAAATTGATTTTATTTTCTGATTTTAAGTTTTTTTTTATTGAAATTGAAAGTGTTTATACAAATATAACCTCTAAGTTTTTTATTTAACTTTTCTATATTTATTTAATTAGCTTTAAATTTACAATAAATATAACCTCAAAATTTGTTTTCTTTCTAACTTATAGTTTTAAGGTTATAAAATCGAAAATATTTCCACATAACCTGAAAACTATTTTTCCTGGAAATTTTTACCCCTAAAAGCAGAAATAAATGTCATTCTAACCTAAAAATATGAAAATATGATAATTCACGAAACAAAGAAATTTGGTTAGGTTAGAGAGGGGGGTAAAAGTCGTTGAGAATTGAATTAGAGGACGCCAAGTGTTAGAAACTAATAAATTTGAACGACTAGTCTGGGTATAAACTATATACACATATATATAAATATATACACATCATCAACGATATATAAAGTGCAGTGAACGCGAGTGGGTGCAACGAACCTATCTCCTTGCCCCCTCGTCATCTAGTTCATCTCACTTTGTCATTCTCTTTTTCTGTCTCACTCACTTCTGATCTGAAACTCTCCCTTCACGAACACGAGGCAAACTCTAATCGGAGATGTAAGCTTGTATTTGTATTATTTTTTTTTTCACTGTTAGAAGCGCGCGCAAACGTATATACATATATATATATAGCAGATCATGTATGTTAACCCCACTGCGGTCACCTTCTATTCTAGAGCGCCAGCCACCTACCGTGAGCATTTTGAGCCATGGGCTTTTAATTAAACTGTGGAGAACACTGACAATGAATTTTTTCCTATTTTTTATTAGAGAAAAAAAATCTATTATTACTATAATTTTTTATTTCTCGTTAAGTTAAAATAAATGTGATAATAAATCATTGTTTATTAATTTTCAATTGATTTTTAATAAATTTGTAATTGGTTAATAATTTTTATTGTAGTGGTAGTGATTGTATATTCTTTTGGATTCATAACCTAAAAATAAACGGAGGAATCGATTCGAAATGAGATAGAAAAGAAGAGAGATATAGTTGTTTTGTTTTCTAACTCATTCTTTGCGTTTGGCGAACGAAATTTTCTCGAATATTTTCTACCGTGACCTTTAAGCTTTATGTGAACTTTCTTTTTTGTATTTATTTATACTATATTATACTATTATATTTTAATATATTATATATACTTAGGGTCATCCATAAACTACGTTACCAATGTAGGGGGAGGAGGGGGGTTCAAAAATCTATAAAAATGTATTTAACACAATGGTAACGAGGAGGGGGGGTTCAAAAATCTATAAAAATGCATTTAACACAATGGTAACGAGGGGGGGGGGGTCCAAAAAGTATTAAGAATTGGTAACGTAGTTTATGGAGACCACTTATTATATTATTTTGAACGCAGAATTTCAAATTACAAGTCTGATATGGTTGCCACTGAACCGTCTCACGTGATACTATATAATATTATACTATTTATTATATTATTATTTTTAATTACCATCTTTGTTTTTACCATTTTTACTCGCACGGTTTTTACCTCCACTAGAGACAGACAATATTTTTCACCACAAGATAGATTGGAAACTCGGTAATTTTTTTTAGTCAACTAAGAGTTTATACCCTATGCGACCTCCGAAATGTGACACTTGAGTTGAGTGAAGTCTTTCGGAGAAAGGATCTTCGGCGAAAATCACTTTGACTCCTTCTGCAAGTGTCGGATTTCAGATGTTCTACTCAGGCCCTCCAAGCTCTAATGCATTTCGTTACGCCAAAGTTTCAGAAGCTATTTAGGGTAACTAACCGCCGGGGGCAGCACTTGTGGTCACCACTACATACAATTGTCCTGTCGGTGACATCCCTATTGCAATTGCGTACGTGCGCTAATGTGCTACTAGACAGCAGTTTTAATAAATATTAAAAAGAATTCTTTTATTTATTGAATAAAAAGTGCCCTTTTTAACACCACAACTAACAGCACATTTCCTACCAATTTCAAACTGTATTTGTACTGCAAAAACAATAACTTAGATTCTTTTTAATAATAATTTAAATTTGAGGTTAGGTTTCAGAATGTTTATTTATATGAGGGTTATTATTACTTAAAATATTACAAAATATAGAGAACACTATTAGTGTTCACTGTATTTTATTATTACTATAAATCATCAAATTTTAATAACAAAAAAATATAAAATAATGTGTATTATATACACAAAACAGCTGTATATTTATTACAAATTTTAGTAATGATGCAATTTATTATATATACCTAAAAGAAGTTAAACAAAAACATTTAAAACTTATTAAATATACAATTTTTTATTTTTGAATAAATAAAACAAGTATTTTTCTATAATATTTATTAAAATAATTGTTGGTTACTATTTAGCGCACGTACACAATTGCAAAAGGGATGTCACCGACAGGACATTTGTATGTAGTGGTGACCACAAGTGCTGCCACCGGCGGTTAGTTACCCTAAATAGATTCTGAAACTTTGGCGTATAGTAAAACGAAATGCATTAGAGCTTGGAGGGCCTGGTTCTACTCCATAAAGGCCAACGCACAATAAATTCTACTTTCACAAATTCATAATTAATAAATAAACAAATTGATAAATATACTAATTAATTATTAATAAATTAAGTAAATAAATAATTATAAAAAAAAATTTATTGGATTTAATTAACTACAAATATAATTAGTTAACTCATTGTTAACAATTAATTTTTTAATTTATTACCTATAATTAGTTAAATAATTAAATACATAAAATTTGCTAATTATTTATTTGCAATTATAGTTTATTTATTAATTAGAATTAACTTGTTAATTAATAATTTTTACAAATATTTTATTACTTAACTAAATATTTGTTAATTATTTATTTACAAATATTTTGTTATTCAACTAAATATTTGTTAATATTATTTATTTACAAATATTTTGTTGATACGTACCATTAATAATTTGTTAAATGATTACTTACCGAAAATAATTAGTCAATTAAATCATTTTTTGATTAGTCAATTAAGTAATTTGTGAATGAAATAATATTACAGTTAATTTGTTAATTCATTAATAATAATTAATTTGTTAATGAAATAAATACAATTCATTTGTTAAATAATTATTTATAATTAGTTTATTTATTATTTAGAATTAACTTGTTCATTAATTATTTGTAATTATTTAGTTAATTAACTAATTATTCGTTTCTTAACTAAATATTCGTTAATTGTTTATTTACAAATAATTTGTCAATTAACTAAATATTTGTTAATTATTTATTTACAAATATTTTGTTGATAAGTACCATTAATTTGTTAATTGATTTTTTACAAATAATTAGTCAATTAATCTTAATTAATGAGAATTAATTTGTTAATGAAAAATTCCAATGAATTTGTTAATTAATTAATGAGAATTAATTTGTAATAGAAAAAATTACAATGAATTTGTTAATTAAATTAATTAAATTCATTTTAATTTAAAATTATAATTTGTTAATTAATTAATGAGAATTAATTTGTTAATTAATTAATAAGAATTAATTTTTTAATGGAAAAATTACAATGAATTTGTTAATTAAATTAATAAATTAATTCTCATTAATTAATTAACAAATTATAATTTTAAATTAATTAATGAAAATTAATTTGTTAATTAATTAATGACAAATAGTTTGTTAATTAATTATTTAGAATTAATTTGTTAATGAATTAATGAGAATTAAATAATTGTTAATTAATTAATAAAAATTAATTGGTTAATTAATAAATGAGAATTAATTTTTTTTAATTAATTAATAAGAATTAATTTGTTAATTAATTACAATTAATTTGTTAATTAATTAATTACAATTAATTTGTTAATTAATTAATTACAATTAATTTGTTAATTAATTAATTACAATTAATTTGCAAAAAATAATTGTTTTTTATTGTCATTCATAAAAATAATGTTTGAAAACCACGAAATTTTCGCACTTCATTTGTTTTCTCTTCAAAACAACAAAACCAAAAATAAACATTGACAATTTGTGAACAATTCTATTTGCTGAAGAAATTGAAGTCAATTTACAAGTAATAAGAACAATTAGCTTTACTATTTTGGTAATTATTCATAATTATTATTTTTTTATTTTTAATGTTTACTTTTATATTTATAATTTATTGTTTTTATTATTATTTATTTACACTTTTTGCATGTCTAGATATTATTATTTTTATTAATATCATTAATACTATTATTTTATTATTATCATCATTAGTGTTATTTTTATTATTGTTATTAATATTATTAATAATAAAGTTGAAATTATCGATCACCCCGAGTCAGGTTGAGATAAAATATATCAATTTTGTATTTCTAAACGTTTCAACGGTACAGTCGTCCTCATGAGAAACTAAAATTTTATTAAACAATTATTTTAAAAAATACATTTCGCACATAAATAAATAATTTTGAAAAATTTTTTACTTGAAGATTATTATTATTATTATTATTATTATTATTATTATTATTATTATTATTATTATTATATTCTTACTAATATTAAAATTATTATAAGTAAAAAAAAATATGCAGCGAAATGTGAATTGTCTAACCTTAATTTTTTTTCTGCTTTCAGCTTGAACAAGATGCATGCAATGGACGAGAATTCGAGTGTTGTTGCAAATACAAAAAATATGAAAGCTACAGAGAAAAAGGAGGATGATGATTTTTCGAGGCAATCACCACAAGTGCCTCAAAATCAACAAAATGGCGCTGCACTGCCGGAGGAAACTGTCACTGCTGCCACTGAGCGTCTACATTCCTCAACCGTCAAGGAAGAACCACTTCAAGATACAATAACTGATCTCAGCAAAAAATCATCATCAGATTTATCGTCATTAACAAAACACGTCGAGGATACAAAAATAATTCGCTCCGATGAACGTGCAAGTAGAAAGCGTCGTTCAACGGACGAAATACCATCAGCCAATGGTAATGCAAATACAAAAAGAATTTGTCTCGAGCAACGTGAACAATTAGTCTCATCATTAATAACTGGCTATGAAAATGCATCAGCCGATGAATTAGCAACAAGAGCCGATTGTTTACGCGCCGAATTACAAGCACTCGACGAATTGGCACGAGCCGCCGAAATGGAATGGAATCGTGTTTTGACAATGAGAAAATTAAAGGAGGAGGCTTATTTGCGAGTTGAGAGGAGACGACAGGTTGTTAATTTTATGGAGGGTCACGATAGACTTAATGATTTATTGCCATCGATGAATTCAGCGCACGATTCACACGATTGGGAGGCGAAGAAATTGGGTAATATTAAGGAGAAATGTGCATTTCCAACAGTACGTGGAGGTGGTGGTGTCGGTGATGATGAGCAAAATATTTTATATAAAAATAATTCTGATAAAATATCAAAATCATTGCAACAGACTGCACAGAATTTGTCGAATAGACTATCGGCTGATGCAAGAAAGCAGGCGGCTGATTTATTGGGTGACAATCGTCAGATTGGCGAGGGACGTCAGGGACCAACTGTTGATGTGAGATCAATTATTGCTGACTATAGATTACGACATCCTGAGAGTGTACCAAGACGTGGACGTCGAATGAGAAATTCGGTGAATGTTAATTTGGGAGCTGGTGGCGCTGTTATGGAGAATAATCAAAATACTGATTCACGGCCATCAAGCACTGATTCATGCAAGAGTAATTCCAATATTGAGGGGAATAATTCTCTTAATTTCAAGGATGTTTTGGTGCATTTTGCAAAACTCAGTCAACAGCAAGGTAATTATTTAAGTGAGTCGAAAATTTTTCAAATTTTAACTGCCTAACCTTGCAAGGCGACAAATTTTAATCTTTCTTCATCGAGATCTACCTTGAAATACGCAATTCTTAACATTTTTTCTACTGCCCAACTAAAAATTTTTAACTACCCAACCTTGTGAAACGAAATTTTTAACATTTTCACACCTTCTCAATCTTGCAAGACAAAATTTTCATTATTGCTTTAACTAACCAACCCTTCTAGTCAAAAATTTCAAAATTTGTTTTGCACTAAAACTTACAGAAGCTAATTTATAACAATTTTGTAACTAACAAACCTTGCAAATCGAAATTTTCGATATATTTCAAACTACCAAACCTTGCAAAGACGCAATTTTCATTATTTTTTTTAACTAACTAACCTTGCAAAACGAAATTTACATTTTTCCAACTACCCAACCTTGCAAGATGATATTTTCATCATTTTAAGTATCGAACATTGCAAAATGTAATGTTCAACATTTCTTCAACTATCCAACCTCGCAAGACGAGATTTTCAAGATTTTTTCAGCTGCCAATCCTTGCAAGTCATAATTTACATCAGTTTTTCAGCTAACCAACCTTAAAAGATTCAATTTTTTTTTCTTTTTTAACTACCCAACCTTGCAAGTCATAATTAAATCACTATTTCAGCTACCCAACTTTGAAGGTTGCAATTTTTGTCATTTTTCAACTACCCAACCTTGCAAAACAAGATTGTTGTCATTTTTTAACTACCTAACCTTGCAAAACGAAATTTTCAACATTTCTTCAACTATCCAACCTCGCAAGATGAAATTTTCAAGATTTTTTCAGCTGCCCAACCTTGCTGAACAAAATTATTGAGACTTTGTGGCTACCTCAACTTGCAAGACGAAATGACAATGGTAAATTTTTTGCAAGTGCCCCATCTTGCTGGATGAAGTTTTCGCAAATTTTTTCACGCAAGGTTAGGTAAAGGTGCTTCTGCAATACGACCAAAAGGCAAATCTAAATTTTTTTCCTATAGTTTAACCTGTAAGAAAAAAATTTAGACTTACCTTTTGGACGTATTGTAGAAGGTCCTTTATTGACAAACTAGTTGAAAATTTCATCTAGCAAGGTTGGGTAGTTGACTCAATAGTTAAAAATGGTAAGTTGCCAAATGCGCCACTTTTTTGTTAACTGTCCAACCTTGCTTATTAAAATCCGAAAATTTCATCCACAACGGTTAGGCAGTTAGCAAAAAATTTAAAAAATCTTTCAATAGGGTTGGGTGGTTGATGAAAAAAATAAGAAAATGGCACATTTGGCAACTACCAATTTCCTTACCAAGGTTAGGTATTTGACAAAAAAAAAAATTAAAAAATTTCTTAACCAAGGTTGGGTAGTTGGCTCAATATTTCTTCTACCAAGGTTGGGTAGTTGATAAAAAAAACTAAAAGTTTCATCTTCCAAGATTGGGTAGTTGATTCAATAGTTAAGAATTTCTTCTACTAAGGTTGGGTAGTTGATAAATAATATCATATACCAAGGTTGGGCAATTGACAAAAAAAATGTAAATTTGACCACTGGCACATTGGAACCTTTATATACTAATATTTTTAAAAAAAACTAATATTTCAAAGTTTAAACTAATATTTCAACATAAAAAATGCAGAAAACTAACATTTGACATAATATTTAACAGGGGAACCGGTGAAGACGCCACAAAATTATCCGGACGTTACGCTACATCCAGTGGCGCCATCGCCGCCAACAACGCAAAATTCAACGCCACAACCAAGTGGATCTCTATTACATGGAATTCTAACCAAAGCACAATCGCCAAGACCAACAACATTCTCGCCGACATTAGCACGATTGCTCACTGCACCCGAACGAGATCGCAGTGCCCCGGTAACGACCGTCACGCCACATTCAAATTCGGCGAGTCAACGAATGATTCAGGCTTATCAGGAGGCGAATCCCGTTTCTATTAGTGAACTATTATCCTCGTCAAAGGTTCGTTAACATATACTTAAGTTTTGTTCTGCCTAGAACTATTCATTTAACATTGATTTAAAATTGATTTAACACTGGCTTAACGTTGCCTAACGCTGATTTAATACCCACTTAACGTTGATTTAACACTGACTTAACGTTAACTTAATATTGATTTAACACTGACATAACTTTGATTTAACTCATTCAGCATAGACTTAACGTTTATTTAACTTCAATTTAACATTCATTTAATATTAATTTAACACTGACTTAACTTTGATTAAATATTTATTGACTGAACGTTGATTTAACTCATTCAGCATAAACCTAACGTTGATTTAACTTCAATTTAACATTGATGTAATATATATTTAACGCTGACTTAACTTATTTAATATTGACTAAATGTTGATTTAACATTAACTTAACTTTGATTTAACTGTGATTAAATATTTATTTAACACTAACTTAACTTTCATTTAACTTATTTAACATTGACTAAACGTTAATTTAGCAGTGGCTTAACTTTAATTTAACATTGATATAACTTGAGTGAAATATTTATTTAACACTGACTTAACTTTGATTTAACTTATTTAATATTGACTAAATGTTGATTTAACATTGACTTAACTTTGATTTAACATTGATTAAATATTTATTAAACACTGGCTTAATATTGATTTAACATTGACTTAGCTTTGATTTAACTTATTTAACATTGGCTAATTTAAAAATTTGGTTTTTGACTTTTCTCTTTCTTTTAGGGCCGAACGGAAATAACGATCACACCGGTAGTTAATGCTCTAGTACCACCGCACGCTAACAACATGATGCAAGTGGTAAGTTTGTAAAGAAATACAAATTTTTACTCTACGTTCATACTTCCACTGGCAAGTTTCCATGGTAACGTGTTGGAGTAAGTGAGACAGACATAACGTTTGTCTCTCTCTTACTCGCGCTTGGCAACGGCAGGAGTTTAAAGGGGCGTTCATAACACCTGAATCTTGCAAAGAAGGACGGACACTGCTTTCACTAACTTTTCTTTTCTAACTCAACGCTTCTATTCTGCTTTAAAAATCGTGTAATTTTTTATTTTATGTATTTTTAAACGAGCTGGAAACGGAGAAGGAAAAAATGATCTTTTGTTCAAATAGTACCTAAGTTCAAAATAATTTACTAATTTCGACGATTTACAAACTTGACTACTTTCTACAATATTAAGAGGGTGTTCACAGTCGATACGATTTTTACACAGAGTTTTCCTTTAATATAAAAAAAATGGAATCTACTTGGACATCCCCCCTAAATAGAATTATAGTTAGTAATTTTAAATATGATAAAAATGATGTTAGTAATAAAAAATAAATATAATAGTAATAATAATAGTAATAGTAGCTATAATAAAAATAGTATTGATAATAAAAGTAACAATAGTAATATTAAAAATAATAATAATAATAATAGCAATAATAAAAATATAATAAAATTATAAAATATTATTTTCCAATTTTCCCGGAATTATTCCGGTTGTTGTTAGTCCCCCTTTTTCATAGTATTAATTTTTAAAAATAAAATATTAATTAGAAAAAAAACTTGAAATTTAAGATTATTATAAGACTTAAATTACGAATTTGTATTGAAACTAAAAAAAATCAAAATAGTGGACAAAATTTTCATTTGTCTAAAATTTTTTATTTAGATCCGCAGAATTTAAAAAAATAATTCAAATTAACGGACAAATTAAAAAATTTTAACTACTAAAAAAAAGAAAAAAAAATTACAATTTCTTATCCAGCGGTTTTCCAGGTCGCCGATGACAAATTTGAGGTTAGTTTTTTTGTTTTCTTTTTTTTAATTGCAAATTCAAAATTTCGGAGTAAATGAAAAAATAGTTTCTTTTTTGTTGTTAATTTCGGGGAAAGAGTAGAGAAAATTACTAATGAATTTCTCGCCTATTTTTTTAGGACGACGAGGAGGAATCGTCAATAATGGAGGAAAGAGAGTCGAGGATTTCTGGCGGGAGTCGTGACGACAGAGATATTTCGCCACGCTGTCAGGGTTGTCACGAACGTGCCGCACAATATGTGTGCGCCGGATGCGGAAATCAATGGTACTGCAGTCCCGAGTGTCAGGTAAAAGAAGAATTTTTTTTGTTTCTCTAAACTTTTTTATTTTGGTTTTAAATTATTTGTTGAATTTGAAAAATGAGAAAACAACTTTTAAAAAATGAAAATTAATAAATTTTTGTGAAAAAAATTGTTTAAATGAAAATTTAAATAATTAAACTGTTCATTATAAATGTTTTTTCTAATTATAAATTTTAAATTATTATTTATAATTTTTGCAAATTTTTATATATAAATAAAGTAAAAAAATTGAGAATTTTTTCAATTCTTAAAAATATTATTTTCATTTAAATTTTTTAATAATTTTGTTCGTTTCGATTTTTTTAGGCTGCCGCTTGGGACGAACATTCGGAGGTGTGTTCAGGCTAGGAAAAAGCTCGGCCTCGTTCGAATCGCGCAAAACCGAAAAATAAATCTAGTCAGGGTACGAAAGGCAAGCGCGAATTGCTGAGCAAAGCATGAGAACGAGTCCGGCGATAAGTTTATAAACAATTTTCAAAAAAGAAGAAAAAATGTCCGTCAGTGAAAATTTTTCACTTGAAAAAGAAAAATTACGGATACAATAATTGTTTTCTTTTTCAAAAAAAAAAAAAAATAACTTCGAACCCCATTTTTTTAAAAACCGAAAAAGAATTCTTCGTATTATTGAATTTTTGTTCTGAATCGACGAAAATTTTATTTTTCTGAGTAACGTTGCAACTGACAGTATTGACTAGAAAAAAGTTTTTTTAAAAATAAAAAAATCTAGTTCAATAATACAAGAAAAAAAAATATTCTTAATAAAAAGAGTCGAGAGGACTTTTCAAAGAATTTTTTTCGCTTCTAAAAATAAAAATTAGAAGAAAATAGCGCTTATTTACCAAAAAAGTGTTTGGTAAATTTTTTTAAAAACATAAAATTTGTGCTCCGATTAAAACCAAAGAGTATTGCAATCGAGGCTCAAAATTCATTATTCTTTTTTTTAATCGCAAGTTCAGAAGACTTTCTACATATTCGTTTTTTTAAATTGTTCATTTTTCAAAATGTTCAAAATGTGTTAACTTTAGTTTTTAAAAATATTTAAAACTATAAATGAAATTTGAATTTGTTTTCAATTCAATGCATTAAAAAGTGATAATCGTTGTATTTATTAATTCCGTGTTTATTAAAAAAAATGTTTTGTTTATTCGCAAGGAGAAAAAAATATGTTCGCGAGCGTATGTAACTACTGTAAGTTGCAACATTTGTAAATAATTTTTATATATAAAAAAAGAAAATCAGTGAGAGATGTGTTTTAACAACGCAAAAAGACTTAGTGACTCTTTTTCATAAAATGCTATTTGCATAATATCAATTTTTTTTTTATTTTCATCACATAAACAGCGATACTTATTTTCCCGCCCTAGAATTGAAATTTTCGATTATAAAAAAATCTTAATTTTCTTCAATTTGCCAATTTTTCTGTTACCGATTTGATATATACATATAGAGCCGAATATAATATAAATAAATATATTATTAATGAAAAAAATAGATAATTAAGAAAGAGAGATGAGAATTTAGTCGGTAAAAATTTAAAGAAGAAAATTTTTCAATTTAAGGAAAATTGAAATAGGACGTGCAAGAAAGAAGTTAAAAAAGAATGAATTAAAAAAAGAAATCTTAATTACCATTTATTAATTTGATACCATATTTGTTACCAATGTGTATAAATTAAAAATGATAAATTATTAAATAAGAATTTAAGCGTAATATTTACTTGGTAGATTGTAATAATTAGTTTTGTTAAGGAATTTTTTGTACGCGACGTTGCGATCATCAGCCACGAGACACGTGTTCTTTGCTAATTCACATACATATTATTATAAATATAAATATATATACATATAAAAATGCCGGTAGATTACCTCAGACAATTTCTTCGGAATCTGTAGTCCAAAGTTCCTACAGGCACACGCGATATATATATTTTTCCCATTTACAAAAAAAACCAAGTGAACCAAAATAAAAGTTTTTAATTGCAATTTAAGTTTTGAAAATTTATTGAAATCCTCGAAATAAGTTATTGTATTTAATTTTTATTTAATAGAAGTTTTTTTTTGCAAAAATTATCAAAGCCGCGGAAATTAAAGGAACGAATAGAAAGAGTTTCATGAGTAATTGATTTAACATTGAAATAATATTAACTTAACTTTAATTTAATAATGATTGAACACTGACTTAACTTTGATATAATATTGATTTAATACTGACTTAACATTGATTTAACATTGAGTAGTTTTTACTTATATATTTATATTTATTATTTTTCTCATTCTTTATTGAAACGAAAATAAATTTACTTTAAGAAAAGATAAATCGGCGAAAGCGTGTTTTGAACGAATCGAAAATAACCTTCTTGTTCGTTGTAATGTTTTTTTTCTTTTTTGAAAATAACTACCCTATGAGTTATTTTGTTGATTTTTCCTAATTAAAGGAATCGAAGGTTTTGAAGTTATCTGAATAATAAGAATAATTTTTTTCACACTGAGTGATAATGTTCACTTTCCTAATTAAAGGAATCGAAGTTTTTGAAGTTATCTGAATAATAAGAAACTTTTTTTTCAAACTGAGTCATATGGTTGACTTTTCCTAATTAAAGGAATCGAAGGTTTTGAAGTTATCTGAATAATAAGAAAATTTTTATATAATTACCTCAACTATTCTGCCTTTCTGCCGGTCCAGTTTAAGGATAATGCACAGGGAACATTTTCTCCATCCTCCTCCTCTCCTCGAAATTAATCTGAAACATAAAAAGAAAAAATATATTAATATACATAAAAAAAATTTTATTTTTTACCAACAGAAAAAAGCACAAAGTATTTATTTCGTATTGTTGCTGTTCGAACCTCAACACACTTCTATACCAATTCCGATGGATCCTCTTCAAATGAAACTAAACTCGACTTCTGATTGGTTCAGGAAATATTGACCATCAAGAAGATCGATTGAGAAGTAAACAACCCAACCCTGAGAATGTTATTATTCTTTCGGGAAAAAAAATAAATCTCAAAAGTCAAAAATAAACAAATGTTTAAAAACTGATTTTAAAATTAGTGTAAAATTGTTGCATTCAAATAATGACACAGTCGAATGATAATTTGACTGACTTGATCGCCCTCGCAGAATCTGCTGGAATTCAAACATCGCCGGAAATATTTCGGTAAATGAAATTTTTATTTTTCATCTAATAATTTGAAAGTAATGAACGAAAGTTAATAACATTATTTTAGACACCTTATATTAAGTTTAAAACAAATAGTTTTATACTCTTCTTTAATAACCGAATTTCGCCGCAAGTTTATAAAAACATAACCTCAAAAAATTATATTCTCGTATGTAATCCTTTCTATGTTTTGATTTTGATGGCATGTTTTCAAAAACGGAAAAATATAATATAGGTAGTTAATTCATTGCGACCTTTAATAACGAAGTTACAAATTATTATTTAATTCAAACGTTATATATAAAATATTATATTATATATAAAATATTATATTATATATATTATATATAAAATAATATATATAAAATATTATATAAAAAAATATTAATCGTTTTTCGGTATTTAATAATAATATGTAGAAACAAAAAATATAAAATCAATTAACAATAGTATAAATTATGTGTATAAAAAATGTGAATAAATAATTTTTTTATATTTTTCAGGGTCCTAATGGAACTATTGTCCCTTCAAGTATGTCCGGAAGATATTTATACACTTCTTCGACAAATCAGTAGAGTTTCGCTACAAAAGAGAAAATCTGCACCACGATCAAGTGCAATGTAAATTATTAAGTTTAGAATAAAATGAAAAAAATTTTGTTTTAATAAAAAAAATTATATTTTTATAACAATAATAATAATAAAAAAAATTCATTCCACGGACATGTCGATTCCCCGTTTTGCCAATATATTTGCCATTTCATTGCCATGAATTCCGGAGTGACTCGGCACGTGAACCTGAATGTCAAATAATTAACTTTTGTTAATATAATTATAAATTACTGCTATTATTATTAATATTATTAATAATAATTTTGTTATTTAACATTGACTTAATTTTGATTCAACTTTGATTTGACATTGATTTAGTATTGATTTAACACTAATTCAACATTAACTTATTTTTTAGCGTTAATGTTTACGTTAAAATCTTTAATTAATATACGTATGATACAATCCACGTTAAACCAACATATCGTCAAAATTCACATTTTTGATTTGGCTCAAACATTTTTTATGTTTTAGTACTAATTGAAAAAGAGCTTCATGATTTTTTTCAAATTTTTTTATCCAACCGTTTACAAGATACGAATTTTTCAAAATTTTACGTTTTGAAAGAAACATTTTTTTGAATGCTTATAAAACTTCTACAAATGTGGATCAATTTTTGAATTTTCTTATATGAAAATTGTGTGTTTTTTGATGAACTTTTCAAAATTTTTATGAAAATTTCAAATTTATACCAATATAAAATAATTAGTTTAAATTGTTAATTAATTACCCAAGAGACTTCTATCGATGATAACATTTCGTCTAATTTCATTAATTCATCTTTATTAATAACTGGTTTTTTTGTCGCACTCTTCCATCCGTTTGTCTTCCATTTTGGCATCCAGGCGGTCACCGATTGTACAACATAATTTGAGTCTGAGTGGAGTTTTAATTTTTTTATACCGGCTTCTTTTGCCGCTTTCACTGCTTTTGTCGCCGCGACAATTTCCGCAACATTGCATGTCGATCGACCCACAATTGGCGCCGAAATATTACTGTAAATTAAAATTCGATTATTTTCCGATTTCATATTTTTTATACATTCACCAACTGTTCCTTTTTTAAAAATTATTTTGTAACGAAAGGCGTAAGCCTTTTGTTACAAATTAATTTTAAAAAAAGGCTTATTACGCTTTTTGTTACAAAATAATTTTAAAAACAACGATTTTAACAAAAGAAAGCCTTTTGTTACAATAATAATTTAAAAAAAAAACCACAATTTTAACAAAAGATAATTTATCTTTTGTTAAAATTGTTGTTTTTTTTTTATTTTGTTTGTTTAAATAAAAAAAAACATACAGTGGATGATTGTCGCCAAACCAGACACCAATTCCAGCTCTCGCCTTTTCTTCGTGACCATTAAATGTACATGAACCGTCAGTATAAACAGTGACAAATCCATCCTCGTCAATTATGAAATTTTGTTTCTTTTCTACTTCAGTCTAAAATAGAGAAAAAATTTTTGTTATTCATTTATACGCGAAAGAAATTGAAACTATTTGCGATTTTTTATTTTGAGGTGTCATAACCTCAAAATAAAACACCGCAATTTTGGCAAAATTGAAAGAAAATCTCACCTTGTTGAATTGAGGTATATCATTTTCTTTAAGTCTCTCATTTTTTAAATTTGACGAACAATTCTCAAAATTAACAACACTCGAAAAATATTTCTGACAAGAATTATTCAATTGTTGAAAAATCCGATTTTGTATTCTAAAAATAAAGAAATTAACAATTAGAGGAAAAAAATAAGAGTAAAATAGATTTGAAATTTTTTACCTGGAAATCATGATGAAAATTATTTTCTAATTAATAACTATTTAAAAAACGTTTTTAAAAACAAATATTTCGAGGAAAAATAAAATAATAATTCCTGTATATAGTTACTTCAGGACAATTTTTCTTGGTAACTTTCCGTTTAGCGGGAATTTAGCAAAAATACCAGAAACTCTAGAATTAACGGAAAAAATATATTTTTAGGAAAATAAATATCAAATTACCAATTCGTTATAAAAGAATAGAAAAAAGAATAGTAAATAGACAATTTAAAAAATAGATATTTGAATTTGAAAAAAAACTAAAAATATAATTTAAAAATTACCGGAGTAAAGAAGTGAAAATAGCAGAATAACCAAAACACCGGATCAGCTGTTATTCAAAGAGACGTTACGAGAGATTAAAAAGAAACTTTCACGGCACTTAAAATTTAGTCTGCATCGAATTGAATGGTATATATTTTTTCCCACTTGGTTCTAACTGCACGTGTAAAAATGGCGTCGCTAACGAGTGTACGATTTATCGTGCGAAATACCGGCATTTTAAGAAATTCCCGTCGTTGCTTAAACATTCTTCAAAATGAAATGACACACAAAATTCAAGAGAGATTCATTCACAATGCTACAAGGTGTTCACTGTCAATTCAAAAGGTAACCTCTCCTCTAAGACTATATCGTCTATTTTCTTTCACTCCTTCACGTTATTTATTGATTTCTATCATTTTGCCCAAAAGAAAACAAATTTCTACACTTAGAGGACTAAATTTATCGAAAATTTTTATAAACCCTGTATTTTATATGTCCGTTCATTTTCTATTTAGGTCAAAAGAATAAAATTTGCAAACAATGTTTTATCAATTTCTTTTAATCTACACATATTACATAACTCGAAAGAATTTTCGTTTATTTGTCCGAAAAGAGGGAAATTTTGCTTTGTCTCGTTAAAATAGTGTTTTCTAATAATTATTCCTAAAAGGACATTGTTCGGTCATATTTCTTAGAATTTTTTCTTTGGATTTCTTTGGTTATAAGGGAAAAAAGTTATTTTTTACGATTTGACTAACGTCACGGAAGGTGAATTATTTTCATTAATAACAATATTCATTACAAGAATTCAATTATTTTCAAAATTAATGTAATTTTTAGCAAAAATTCAATTACTTTCAAAAAATCTAAAAAAAAATTGTCAACATTTCAATTATCTTTATAGATAAATAGTAAAATTCTTCTACAAAATTCAATTATTTTCAGGAATTTTAATAAAATTAATTGCAGATATCAATTATTTCCATAAATAATAGTATTTATCCCAAGAATTCAATTATTTAAAAAAATTTTAATAAAATTCAATTATTTTCAAAAATTTTAATTCTAATTCATTGCAAAATTATAATTATTTTCAAAAATTTTAATATAATTCATTGCAAAATTTCAATTATATTATTTTCAAAATTTTTTTCTTAATTCATTAATTTGTATAATCTATTATTTTAATAAAATTTCAAAAAAAATTCAATTATTTAAAAACAATTTTGACAAAGTTCAACACGAATATAATTCAAGTATTTTCTAAAAATAATGAAAATTTCACTGGAATTCAATTGTTAAAAATAGAATTTGCATAAATTTTTTCGAAAAAAATCAATTGTTTGAAACTTTTTTTTATAAAATTTTATTTTTGTCCGCAAGAATTAAATTATTTTCAAAACTTTTAATAAAATAATTTTTCGCAGAAATTCAATTATTTGGAAAAATTAATAAAATTATTCATAGCAATTCAATTATTTTCCAAAAATAATAAAATTCTTCACAGAAATTCAATTATTTTTGAAAATTAATAATATCTTCACATGAATTTAATTATTTTGAAAAATTATCAAAATTCTTAGCAGGAATTCAATTATTTAAAAACGTTTCATAAAATTCATCACTGGAATTAAATTATTTAGCAGAAGTAATTAAATTCTTTACAGGAATTGAATTATTTTTAAAAAGTAAATTCTTGCATAAATTCCACGAAAAATGTAATTATTTTAAAAAATGTTATTAAAATTCGTCGAAAGAATTCAATTATTTAAAAATTTGTTGATCAAATTATGTATAAGAATTCAATTTTAAGAAACATTCAATTATTCAATAAATTATCTATGTTTTTATTTAAATAATTTAATTCTCGTGGAATTTTCTAAAAAAAATTGGTTTAAAAATTAATTTCAGTTAAAATTTTATATAATAATTGAATTTTGGAGATGTTACTAATAATTGCAATTTTTAGAAATAATTGAATTGTGTAAAGGTTTCAAATTAAAATCTATGAAAATCGTATTTTTCATACTTTTAATTAAAAATTCTATGTAACTAATTTTTTTCAAAACTTAATTGAAATTTTTTAAAATTATTTCAAGTTTTTATTTTCTAATGTATATTTAATTGAAGAATTTCCGAATAATTGAAATTTCACGTAAAATTGAATTGTAAACAAATGGATTTAAAAATTCTCAAAGAACTTTTTCAATTATTATTAAACTTGATGTAAAGATAAATTGTAGGTTATGTTTAGAAAAGTTTTTTGCTTCGGTTCATTTTCAATTACCAAAAGTCAAAAACTTTTTATTAACCATTTTATATACTAAATAGTTAATAAAAATAGTTTTTGACTCTAGATAATTAAAAATAAATCTTAAATGAAGCAAAAAACTTTCCTAAACATAACCTCTTCTTTGTCAAAAGAAAGGAAAGCGGCAAATTTGAGAAAATTTATTTATTTTAAAACTGTAAAATACAAAAATAAACCTTCTTTTATAGAATCTACCTACCCAGGTAATTAGTAATCAAATGCGAAATTGTTCGACAGTCGAGAAATCATCACCAAAGGAAATTGAGGAGCGAGTTATGAAAGTTGTAGCGACGTACGATAAAGTTACAGCTGATAAGGTAAAAAATGGTTGAAAAAATACATTACTTTAAAAAGTTTTTTTCATTTATTTTCTAGGACTTAACGGATTTACGAGTCAAGCAGGTGCGTCACTACAGTGCGCCGGAACCGAGAAGTTTAAAAATAATCACCGATCGTGTCCTCTTGTGTCTCAAATTGTTTGACAAAATTGATCCAGAAAAGGTATTTCTTTTTCAGACTTATACCCATTTTTAATGAGAAAAAAAATAAAAAAAAAAAAAAAAAAAAAAAAAATGAGGAACTTAAGTCTAAAAATGATCTTTTCGACAATTTTCACTCTTTTTTCTTTTTCTTTAAGGGAATGTGAAAGTCGATGCGATTTTACCACTGAAACTTCAATGTAAAAATCGCATCGACTTGAACGAACCATTTAATTATTATTTTTTACTGAGAGAAAAAAATTAAAATGCAAAAGAAAAAATGTAAATTAAATAAAGGAAAGAAGAAAAAGAGAGAGAAAAACAACAATTTTGTCAAACTGAAAAAATCATTTTTAGAAATATTTTTTTGCTTATAAAAAAATGGAGAAAACTTGCTTGATTCGATTATCTGGTATTCAATGTGTCTGTTTTGAATTTTGAATTAAAATTTTTTTTTGTTGCAGTCTGAATGACTTATTATGAAAGAATTCAACATTTATTTAACATTGGTTTAATATTGATTTAATATTGATTTAACATTGATTTAATATTGATTTAACATTGATTTAACATTGATTTAACACTGATTTAACACTGATTCAACATTGATTTAAAATTGAATTAACATTGATTCAACCTTGATTTAATACTTATTTAACATTCGATTTAATGTTCAATTAACGTTTATTAAATGTAGATTTAACAATGTTTTAATATTGATTTAACATTGGTGTAACATTGATTTAATATTGATTTAACATTGATTTAACACTGATTCAACATTGATTTAATATTGAATTAACATTGATTCAACCTTGATTTAACACCTATCAACATTAATTTACAATAATGTTATTTAACATTAATTTAACATTCAATTTAATATTAAATTAACATTTATTAAATGTATTTTTAACAATAATTTAATATTGATTTAACATTGGTTTAACATTGATTTAATATTTATTTAACATTAACTTAACGTAAACCTAAAGTTGATTTAACTTTTTTAAATTTTAACTAACAATTTAACATTGGTTTAACTTTGCTTTAGTGTTGACTTAACATTGATTTAACTTTTATCTAATATTGTCTTAACGTTGATTTAACTTTGGTATAAATTTAACGTAGATTTGAGTTAGATTTAACGTTAATTTAATTTTCTACGAATATTGACTTAATATTGTTTAACGTTGATTTAAAACTGATTTAACATTGATTTTACGCTGACCTAACGTTGATTTATCTTATTTAACATTACCTTAACATGAGTTTAACTTACATTTAAGATTTAACTTTGATTTAATATTTATTTAACTTTGTTTTAAACTTCTCCTAACTTAGATTTAACGTTTACTTAGCGTTGACCTAATGTTGATTTGACTTATTTAACGTTAACTTATCTTGCATTTAACATTGATTTAACATTGACTTAACGTAGATTTATTTTTTATTTAACATTGACTTTAAGTCCATTTAACGTTACTTTTAACACTCAGTTAACGTAGATTTAACGTTAATTTAACTTCAAATTTTACAAAAAAAAGTATATAATTCAGAAGACACATTGAATACATAGAAAATAGTCCTCTTGTTTATTATTAACAATAATAACTAATTTCTTTCTTTTCTCCGCTTTTCTAAATTTAATCTAAATTATTTCTCTTTCCCTTTTCCAGTTGCGCACCGAGTCGCATTTCATCACTGACTTGGGTCTCGATTCATTGGATCACGTTGAAATTATAATGGCGATAGAGGACGAATTTGGTTTTGAAATACCAGATATGGATGCGGAAAGATTAATGAGACCAGCCGATATAATTCGCTATATAGGAGATAAACAAGACGTTTATGAATAAAAATTATTCATCACTCACTATTTTTATTCTATAATATTCTTAATGATAAACATTAGTCAAAAAAGTTCTCTAAACAATTTTTAATTGCCAACGGAAAGGAGACGTCTGTCGTTAAACAAAAAAAAAAAGAAGAAAAACGTCACTGCGAATATATATTTTTTTTCTTTCCTACATTTCTTTTTCATGTATATAGGCAAATCATTCTTGTACTATCGAAAATGCCACAAAATGTTAGAAAAATAAAAAGAAATCTAAAAGAAAAAAAAATTGTTAAAGGAAATTTTTATTTTATTGGGTATACCTAAATTATCATTCAAGTGAAGAAAAGAATTATGAAAAATGAAAAAGACATTGATTTGATATTGATTCAACATTTATTTAACCTTAATTTAACATTGATTCAACATTGATTCAACATTGATTTAATATTGACTTAAAATTAGAACAATATTGACTTAACTCAAATTTAAAATTGTTTCAACGTTGATTTAACATTGATTTAACTGTTAGTTAATATTATATCTTTGTTATATGACCATTAATTCAGTATTGACTTAATTTTGATTTAACATTCTGTTAATATTGATTTAACTTTATTTATTTTAACTTTGGTTTAACATTGATTCTAAATTTATCATTGATTCAACATTGATTTAATACCACTTTGGCACAATTAGACTTAGACCCCTCAAGGGAAAAAATTTCCGAACTCACAAAGATTCGAAGTTAAAAATGCCAAAAGATTACATTATTTACAGAAAAACTAGTTTATAAAGTTCAATTCTATCATTAGTTTCCAAGTTAATCGAAAAATAAAAAAGATTATTAGTTGTTTTAATTACCATTAAGTTATCATATGAAACGTATAATATGTAACATCCCAATCAGAAATTACATAGTATTATGTCAGAGTAAACTACTGGCACAATACAGCGCCTGTAGGATTGCCAAGGCTTGAGTATCCACTAATGAACCAGTACTGGTATACTAATAGTTTGTTAAATAAAAATGTAACTTTAAATAGTTAATATCAATAAACATCATAAAAAAAAATTAGTTAATAATATTAATATATAACTTGCTCTGTTACTAATTACACTAGAAAATATTAAAAACATTTTTTTTAAATTTGTTCAATAAAAGTAATTTGAATGATTATTAATATTAATAATAGGGAAGAGTGGGGCAAACCGGACCCCCTGACGGTTTTTTGACTTTTGAGACTAAACGAATCAACCGATTTCATTTTTCGATGGCTTGTTTGAAAGATCATTTAATTGCGCAACTTTTTCCCAGAGACACCTACACTTTATCTTCTATTGTTTAGTTGCTGTGTTAACTTTAAAAAATTTTGCAAACGATCCGGTTTGCCCCACCCCCTGGGGTAAACCGGACCCCCCCATGGTCAAACCGTTCCGTTTGGTCCCCGATTAAAGGGTCCAATTCTCATTGGAAAACAATTATTTTTCATTGTAAGTAAATATTTTAATGAAAGAAACATTTTATTTAAAAATAATTTTTATGAAACTTTAATTCAATTGGAAATATCCTATAGCCGGTTTGCCCCACAGGCCCATTTTGAGAATAAATGTTTGTCAAAAAGAAACGCTTTGCAAATTCATGAAAGTTTTTAGTGGTAAATATTCCTGAGGTGTGTACCTTCAAAACCTATGACCTAATATTTGGAAACATTACACGATTTCCTCAGAATTTCCTTAAGAAAAAATTCGTAAAAGTGTAGAAAAAAACTAAAAAAAAACTTTTGCTCCCTTCGTCGCACAAACGCAAGCTAAAACTGTCAGATTGAAAAAATAAGGTATACTAAACATGGTTGTTTTAAATTTGTAAACAACACTTTTTCCAATTTCGCCATTTCGGAAATATTGAGACTGGTCCGGTTTGCCCCACTCTCCCCTAATATTTATTTTTTATTATTAAGGTATTAGTCGCGCAGCTGGCTCTGGCCAAAAGTTTACCGGGCCGCTTACAAGAGTGGGGCAGTGACAGTTAGAGAGACAGTTTAACTCCCCACTCTATTCGTTCGTATAGAAGTTCATATAATTTAACTATTTTTTTACCTTTCTGTCAATATATTTAGTTTGGTGCAATCAAAAAATGTCATATTTTTTTTATTCATTTGTTTCATCTAATTGAATACTTTGGTAGTTTTATTTTAAAATCTGACGATTAGTTATCATATAAATAATTATTAAACAAATTCAATACATGCATTGTGTGCTCCCTCCATGCAAAACGTATGAACTTTGAATTAATTCTTTGAAGCTTTGAAACGGTCAAAATTAATGAAATTGGTCTCATTATGTAGATAAATACTTCAGGAATAAGTATGCAAAATTTGAAAAAAATCTGACGAAAACCATTTTACGCGACTAATGTTGTCGAACATACATACAGTCCTAATAACTATAAAAAAAAGTTTTAAATTTGTAATATGTAAGCATATTGAACATAAAAATTCAAACGTATAAAGAAATTTGTGGCCCTGAAAAGGGCCGATTGTTTGATGGAAAGTGGGTAGAAAGTTTAAGCTTTCTTTTCGGTCTTCTTGGGCAAGAGAACAGCTTGAATGTTGGGGAGAACACCACCCTGAGCGATGGTGACTCCAGAAAGAAGCTTGTTCAATTCCTCGTCATTCCTGATGGCGAGTTGGAGATGACGGGGGATGATTCTCGACTTCTTGTTGTCACGAGCTGCGTTTCCGGCCAACTCCAAGACTTCGGCAGCCAAGTATTCCATCACAGCTGCGAGGTACACTGGAGCACCTGCACCAACTCGCTCGGCGTAGTTTCCTTTGCGCAAAAGCCGATGGATACGACCGACTGGGAACTGGAGTCCAGCCCGGTTGGAGCGGGTCTTTGACTTGCCCTTCGCCTTGCCTCCTTTGCCACGTCCTGACATTTTCGATTTAGTTTTAGGTTAACGAAGTAAACACAACGAAGTATTCAAAGCGAATGATGTTATGCGCCAGAAATCCGCCTATTTACGCTCTCCCCACAGGTCACCCCCTCCACTGCGCTCCCCTCTCTTTTTCGTGAGTGGCAGATGGTTGCAGTGAGTCCCCGCACCAATCAAAATGCCGCAGGCGGACATAAATACGGTGCCGCCAGTGTGCAAAATATCAATTCACCCTGAATTGCCTTTGTGTTCAGACGTATTTTCTCTGAAAACAACCATGCCTCCTAAAGCAAGTGGCAAAGCCGTGAAGAAAGCCGGCAAGGCTCAAAAGAACATTACCAAGACCGACAAGAAAAAGAAGCGCAAGAGGAAGGAGAGCTATGCCATCTACATCTACAAAGTGTTGAAGCAAGTGCACCCCGACACTGGAGTCTCCAGCAAGGCCATGAGCATCATGAATTCGTTCGTGAACGACATCTTCGAGCGCATCGCTGCCGAATCTTCCCGCTTGGCCCACTACAACAAGAGGTCCACCATCACCTCCCGGGAGATCCAAACTGCCGTCAGGCTTCTCCTTCCTGGTGAACTCGCCAAGCACGCCGTCTCTGAAGGCACCAAGGCTGTCACCAAGTACACCAGCTCCAAGTAAATTCTGTCCATCCTCACGAAAACAATCGGCCCTTTTCAGGGCCACAAAATCTTTTTACGAGAGAATTATTTAGTTCTAACATTATTTATTAAATTAATTTTTTTGAAAAGTGTTATTCTTCTTTTTATCGTTTTATAATAAGTTTGTACTTACACTAAAAAAAATTTCTAGTAGGTTTGACTACTTTTTAACTACTCTGCGTAATTCAATAGGTCCTCAACTGAATTGAAAAAGCTATATTGACTACCGAAAAATAGTAAAAGGAACTAAGAATGTAGTTAGTGTAATCAGATTTTGCAGTTGTTCTTCTTTATTCTTATTTTATGGTATAGTAACAAAATCGTTATAATATTATATGATATAGTAACGCTTAGCCTGATTATCTTGTCAAATTATCTTTTATCTAATACATAATTTTTTGTAGCAGATGCGTATCGTTAAAATTATTAAATTTTTTTTTTGAATTCGTGTTCTTTGATTGTTTGCAATTTACAAAGAAGTTATTCTTTACCATAAGTTCTATAATTCGATGTGCAGAAAAATTTCTATGTTTCGCTATATAGACAGTATATTTAACAAAAGTCACATCTGTTGTATTGATTGAAACAAAGTTTCTAATTCATAAGAAAAGAATAACTGTATATTTTAAAGTTAATGAAATGAATTATCTGAAATCTTATGGATAATATCTGCAATTTAATTTGTATTGGTGTATTTAATGATTCAACTTTTAAAGTATAATATTAGTCAGTATTTTGCTTTAAATTATTTAAAATTAAAAATTGTTCTAAAGAGAAATAATTATTCGTCTCTTCTAAACAGAAAATATTTATTTTAGGCTATATAAATTAAAAACGTAATATTAGGATGTTGCGACATCATTTCATTTTTTAGAATACGAAATAATGTGTTCGTTATTTTATTTTTGGAGCCGTTGTTATTACATACAGAATAACTGAACACGCAATATAAATGTATACAAGGTAATTATCTATTAAAAATTTTTTGATTAAAAGTATAAACATTATACAATATTAAATTTAATACGGTTAAACTGCATACGATAAAACTGTGTTAATAATATTTTATTAAAAAAATATTGCTTAGAATTAAATTGCATGCGAGAAAACTGTAAACGAATTAATTTAGAAATAAATTCAAATTTCAATACCTTTAAACTGCATACACATCAAATGTATGCAACCAAATTCTCAGTATATTGAGTATTACATTATTGTTTCTATAAGGTTAGCAAATAAATTTCATTAGAATTACGCTGACATCAATCTTTATAAAAATAAAATTACAAGTACCTAAATCAAGAATTTTAAAATTAATAAAAATGTCAGCGTCATAAATAAAAATTTCGACAAATTAAACCAACCATTTCAATAAATAGAAAGTTTTAATTCTGTATTTATGCTAAAAAAAGTAAACTTTTAACTTGACTAAGTAAATAGCCGCATAATTAATAATTTATCTCAGTGTAAAATTTTACAGCAATAATGCCTGTAATTTTCAAGTGCAGTGCTTCATGGTTTGAATTTTTAACATGAAGTTCTGAAATTAACTAAATAATAAGAAAAATAAAAAGTATCATTTCATGTATGTTTATAGGATCCACTAGTGGATCCTAAATCTTTTCACTAATGAAATTTGAGTTATCTGAATAACAAGACACATTTAATTTATTCGTAATCTTATGCCTATTCTCAAATTATAGTAAGAGTGCTCTGAAGTTATCTAAATAATAAGAAAAATAAAGCTGTATTATAGTCTTTAGGCTCAATAACAAGTAAATTCTAAAATGTCTGCTCCAAATATACGCCCACGTAATAAAATGTGTTGGCCCTGAAAAGGGCCGATTGAGTTTTGAGAGTGGTAGGGAAATTTAAGCACGTTCTCCTCGGATGCGACGAGCCAACTGGATGTCCTTTGGCATGATGGTGACTCTCTTGGCGTGGATGGCGCACAAGTTGGTGTCTTCGAAGAGACCGACGAGGTAGGCCTCGCTGGCCTCCTGGAGGGCCATCACGGCGGAGCTCTGGAAGCGCAGGTCGGTCTTGAAGTCCTGAGCGATTTCACGGACCAAGCGTTGGAAGGGCAGTTTGCGGATGAGGAGCTCGGTGCTCTTCTGGTAGCGACGGATCTCACGGAGAGCGACGGTTCCGGGCCTGTAGCGATGGGGCTTCTTCACTCCACCGGTTGCAGGCGCACTCTTACGAGCGGCCTTGGTGGCGAGTTGCTTCCTTGGTGCTTTACCACCGGTAGATTTGCGCGCGGTTTGTTTAGTACGAGCCATTGCTTACAAGTTCAGAGTACGAGTGACGACTGAAAATAACCGTTAGCGCGGTAAAAACGCACATATTTATAGCTCTCAGAAGCACTTGCACCGTTGGTCAAGAGGAAGGGGAAAATGACATCCTGATTGGTCGGTCAGATTGTGGAGGGGAGCAGTGGAACTCTAGAGGGAATAAAACAGTGCACTTTCCACTGCTTAGCATCATTCCGAGTTTGTTTTCTGTTCTGTTCGAACGTAAACTTTATTCTCTGTGAAAATGACTGGTCGCGGTAAGGGAGGAAAGGGATTGGGAAAAGGAGGAGCAAAGCGCCATCGCAAAGTGTTGCGTGATAACATCCAAGGTATCACCAAGCCCGCCATTCGTCGTCTGGCTCGTCGAGGTGGAGTGAAACGTATCTCAGGATTGATTTACGAAGAGACCCGTGGTGTCTTGAAAGTGTTCCTTGAGAACGTGATCCGTGACGCAGTCACTTACACCGAACACGCCAAGAGGAAGACCGTCACCGCCATGGACGTCGTCTATGCTCTCAAGCGTCAAGGCCGCACCCTTTACGGTTTCGGCGGATAAATTCACTCACTATCATCCAAAAAACAATCGGCCCTTTTCAGGGCCACCAAATTTTTTTACGTTTGAATACTTTTTTTCAATAACATAATTGAATGATAAAAGCATTACAGTGCAATCGATCAGTGAGTTATAGGTACATTATTAAATATAATAATCGTCGTATTCCTTCCTTTTACATTCTGTCCGCAGTGAGAGAGAAAGAGAGGAAGGTTTCAGTATTTTTTAATTATTTTAAAATTATTTTTAACATTTTAGAGAAAACATAACAATTGTTTTGTAATAATTATTTAATATTCAATTATTTTCGAACAATGTAAATATAAATTTATGAAAATTTACTTTTTAGACTTATTGAAATTTTTGAGAAATCATGGTCCTGTTTATAATTAAAATTCTACAAAAATTTGATCATTATTATGTTACATCCGAAGATATAACATAGTTTAAAAAAAATGTTAATAAATAATTTATTAGCTAGTTATTTGAACCTAGACTAAAAGTCCAATAGTTTTGGAAACTATTACTAGAAACTTTAATTAATTAAATTGTCTTTGGTTGTGTAAAAAAAAAGAGAAAAGTTTTAAAGAAGGAAGAAAAGAAGCTATCGAAAGAGAATTGAAATATATATAGTCTACGCGCTTAATAAAATAATGTTAGCAATTGTATATATATATTCAAAACCACACTTTTTCCTTAAATAATCGTAGTAATGTCGTCATAAAACTCAATTTAACAAGTTTCTATTTCTGACGAAAAAAATAAAGATTAGAAGGAAGTAAAAGAATTTGTGAATTAAATGTGAAACAATGAGTAAAATGTACAATTTTTATTTATTTAACTTACTTTTTAGTAGTAATTTGATTTAAACCAGCGAAATAAATATAAGGCAGCAGAAGTAAATCTTCGTCAAATCCTTGATAAATCTCTAATCAAGATTGTTGTAGTTGTAGACTTTGAACCTTTTAACTTTGAAAATTTGTTTAAACTTTAAAACAACTTTAAAAACTTGTTAGAAACTTTAAACTTTGTTAAAACAACATGTTCAATATAAATGTTTTAACCAAAATGTTAAAAATAATAGTAAAATATTATTTTTGTATGTATTTGGATTTTTGGAAATATGTAATTGAAATACATATTATATATGTATACTGAAAATATTGAATACTGAAAATATTGAATTAGAAAAAAAAATTTGTTTCCCTGACACTTCCCTGACAATGGTTTTTACATATAATACTATCTAAAAAACTGGCGCTGTATAGTTTCTCGTTCTTGTGTCTATATATAATTAACAATGCCTAGTAACAATAAAAATGAGTGCACATGTGTAATGATAAAAAAAATATTTTTAAAAAACTGAAAATTTTGTGCAAAAATTATCATGGTTGACACAAAATGCTAAATATAAGATTCCAGGCTTTTTCCAGGATTTTCCAGGCCAATACTTTTCAAATTCCAGTCAAAAATTTAAAAAATTCTGGGCCAATTATCTACAGCTCTAAAAATTTTTTATTATTTATTTATTTTTATTTCATTTTAAGTTATGGTGGGAATTATTTAATTTTGTATTAATTTTTGAATAAAAAATGTACAAATTAGTAAAAATTGTTATAAATTATTATTATTATTCATTTATTTCTTATTATTTATTTATTTTATTTAATTTTAAATTAATAGAGACACATATTTCATGCAAGTCGCATAATCGCATAATGTTCTCAAACTGAGCATATCTTCTGTATTTTGTGAATTATTACGAATTCATACAAAATAAATGTGATTTGTGATCGCATCCAATTGCATAATTATACTTTCAGTGCATAATTTTTTTTCATTGCATAATTTAACACTATTTGCATAATCATCGCATAATTGTTAATTTTTTGTTTAAAAATACTATAAAGTATCTTTTTGATGATTTTAATAAATTTTTAAACGTTGTTACTTCCCGGTCAATGCAGAGACTATGCTAAGTTTATATTTTTCAGACGATTTAAACCAATGTCTAGACTGATCTCGTTACTTTACTTATTTCTATAAAGAAAATTTTACATTTTAAAAAGATTAAAAGTTTTTAATAAAAAAATCAGGGACCGTTACGAAAGTTTAGTTTTGTTTAGTTTCGTTTTAGATTCGGGGTTGATACAAAACTAAATTAATAAACTGAGTTTAGTTTTGTGTCGACTCGAAACCGTACTGAATTTATTTCAGTGCAGATCGAAGACAAGTGTCTGAGAAACTCAATTATTTAGTTTTAATTAAAAAATCACAGCAAAAAACAAAATATTTAAAGAAATAATATTATTCTTTAATACTAGATATAAAGCAGTATAAAGAGACTTCAATAGAAAATAAAGTGGAAAAAGTAAATCTACCCGTGCAGAAATCGCCACTTTTGTTCCCGATTACCGCCCTGGCCCCGGTCGGGTTTTCATGATCTGGCCCCGACTTCGTGGCCCCGACCAGGACCAGGCCGGGCTTGCCCAAGGATCTACAAACAGCGCACAATGGGATTTTTTTTAAAATTTACTTTTCAAAACTGTCTACAGCCTACAATTTTTAACCAGTTTCAGTATTCTTTATTTTAAATTAAAGGCGAATAAATTCTTAAGACATCCCTCAAGGCCAATTTTTTAGTTCTTAATTGTTTATAATTTTTATTTTCAATCAAAGTTAACAAATTAATACAATTTTTCAAAAAAGGAGGCTTATTTTCTTATTCCGTTGCTGCATATGATCTGAATCAGTTCAAATTAATACAATATGACCACCGAGATCTCTGACCACCACATCACAATCAATAAAATAGAAATCAATTTATATCAATTGTTATAAACAATATTAATTAACAAATAGTTAACTTTGATTTCTCTCCACTAAAAAATGTTTTTTTTTCACCTTTTCTTTTTAATTTAAGTTCATTTAAAGAATATTTGTCCTTTTTGATTATTAAATAAGTTATTTAAATTGTTATAAACAATATTAAATAACAAATAATTATGTAACTTATGTTCCTGTCCACAAAAAAAATTTTTTTTCACGTCTACTTTTTAATTTAAGTTAATTTTAAAAATATGTGTCCTTTTTGTTTAAAAAATAACTTATTTAAATTGTTACAAATAATATTAATTAACAAATAGTTCATTTTTGTTCCTTTCCACAAAAAATTTTTTTTTCACGTTTACTTTTTTATTTAGATAATGTTAAAAGACCACGGATATATAATATTAAATATTTAAATATAAGTTATATTATAAGCAAAAATTTAAATGAACCTAAGTAAAAAAGAAAATTTGTAACAAAAATTTTTTGTTGGACAGGATCATAAGTTAACTATTTGTTAATTAATATTGTTTATAACAATTTAAATAAGTTATTTTTTAATCATAAAGGAAAAATATTATACAAATAAACTAAAATTAAAAAGAAAATGTGAAAAAAAATTTTTTTATTGGAGAGGAATCAAAGTTAACTATTTGTTAATTAATGTTGTTTATAATAATTGAAATATATTACTTTATGGATTTTTAATTGTCTGCTGGTAATATTGGATTAATTTGAACTGATTTAGAGCATGTGCAGTAACGGAATAAGAAAATAAACGTCCGTTTTTAAAAAATTGTGTTAATTTGTTAACTTTGATTGAAATTTGAAAATAAAAATTTTAAACAATTAAAAACTCAAAAATTGGCATCGAGGGATGTCTTAAGAATTTATTCTCCTTTAATTTAAAACAATAGGACAAACGCACCAATTGTCGAGGGTGAACCATTTGTCGATGTTATCATGAAGATAACCAAAAATATTGCCTAAAATGTTTAATTTATTTGTGGTTATAATATTAACATATTATTTTTGACATTTATAACTCTTAAAAACTCTTATTTATTTTTCACCCTTAAATTGAAATTCCATGTTTAAGGCAAAAAAATAAATTACTATTAATTAATAATTTTTAGTATTATTGTGAATTATTAATAATAAAAAATTTTTTATTATTTTAAAAAATAGTTAAATTATAAATAATAGAGAATAAATAATTAAATTAATAATTTTTACCATATTTTTATGATAAACATATTAATTATATATATATATATATATATATATATATATATATATATATATATATATATATATATATATATATATATATATATATATATATATATATATATATATATATATATAACATACATTTTTAATAATTTTTCTATAAATAAATATGATACAGTCAATTTATTATGATAACACTGTATATAACGGTCCCATGATTCAAAAGGAAGTTTAAGCGAGGTCGCTTCCAAGCTTGCGTGGCTATGCGGTATGTCTATTCGACTTGCGTCCTCGAGGTCTAGGGTTCGATCCCCCGTGCGTGCGATATTTTTCCGTCTTAGTTTTAAGTGTTTTGTGTATAATTCTTAATAATGTTACATAAAGTATAGGTTTAAATAATTATTAACAATAATAATAATAATAAATTAGGCATTAATTTAAATAAGGATAGTCTGTCTAAATTAATGAAAGAAAATAAGAAAAATATTTTTTTTAAAACTTAGTTCAATAAAAGCAATTGTAATAATTATTTACATTTTTAATGACACTCATAAAATTTTATTTACTACAAAAATATTAATAATAATTATTAATATTGAAGTAAATACTCCCCATGCTTTAATAATCAAATAACGAGCTTTAATATAATAAAATGCAGTCAGTATTAGATTTCTACCTAGGTAGCGAAAAGATCGGGGGAAATTCCATGGCCCCGACAGGGCGGCCAGATCGGGCAAAGTGCCATGGCCCCGGTCGGTTTTAGTGTTTCAACCAGGCCGGGGCCAGGTCGGGTTGTCAGATCGGGGCCCGGTTTGTCCCGATCTGGCCCCGACCTGGCCCCGGTCAAAATTTCTGCACGGGTAACTTTCATCAATATTAAATATTGAAATATTTTGTTTTTTTAGTAATTTTTTACTGACACTAAATATTTAAGATTATCGGACTTTAGTTTCGAGTTGACACGAAACTAAATTAAATTGAACGTTTTACTTAATTATAAAAATAACTTTATGCACGGGAAAAAAAATTTTACTTGGAGCAACTACAATTTTCATTATATTAGTGAATTTTTTATTCATTTCAGTTAAAACTTTCGCTATTCTAGAGAAACTTATCGCTGTTCCAAATGAAATTTTCTTAACTAAGAATGTAACAATTTTCCAAAATACACGAT